TAATTTAAGCCAAAACAAGGGTTTAAAGTTTTAAATCCAATCTTAAGTGTAAAACAACCCATGCATTTCAGCCGTGCAACTCCTCTGTAAGCGAAGCCTTTCCCCACTCTGAGCCACCTGTTCTTCTCTCCCTCCCGCAATTGTAGAAGCTCTGGAAACTTCGTCAGAATGTCTTTTGGGACACGCACTCGCTCTTACCCACTTGACAACATTTATTCCTAAATAAACCTCCGCAAACCAAACGATTTTCTCGCAGTTTCTCAGCAACCAAACAACACACAAAAAAATTTCTCTGCTTCTCCCTCTCTTGCCTAACCACGTTCTCGCCACAGAAAAAAAAGGAAAAAAAAAGGGATCTCAACTGTCTCAGCGATTATATCCCTACATCATCGGCATCGGCATTCTGGTGCTGGTAAAATTAAACCTGGTGTACAATGACTGTTGATTCGGCTAATCGGAAGGAGTTCGTTATAAAGATTGATGGTGGAAGTAGTCAGAGCAACGCTTCCGGTGGTGGCGACAGGATTTGGGGAGACTCGGGTTATGATTTTTTGGGTGATTCTTATAAACTGATGAAGAACGGGAAAAAAGAGAATATGGATGTGGCTGCGAGTAGTGGTGGTGGAAATAACAGTGGTGAGGATTTTGATTTTATTCCGGGTAAGCAAGTGATCGATGACCCGCCGTCGAAGCTGATCGGGCAGTTCTTGCACAAGCAGAAAGCGTCCGGGGACTTTTCGCTAGATATGGATTTGGAGATGGCCGAGCTTCAGCCCGGAAATCGGGTTTTGCCACCGGTTTCAGAATCTCTGTCAGCTTCAGGGAATCGGGTTTCTATTGAGCAGCCGGTTAATAGTCAGCGGGAAAGTGTGAGGAGGAGACATCATTCGGAGTCACCGGAAAAGGAGGACGGTGGTGATGAGGACGAAGTTGTGAGATGCAGCTCGACTGCTTCGTTTCAACGGAGTCAGGGTTCCTTTCAGAGCCAGACGAGCAATTTGTTGAAGACTAAAACAAAGTCGAGGTTGATGGACCCACCAACTCCTGAAAGAGGGGGAGGGGAGCCAAGGTCTGCAAAAGCAGCGGTGGGAAGGTCTGGGCAGATGATGAGATCTGGGTTTATTGGGAAAACTGTGGAGGAGCAAGAGGAGGATGATTCATTATTTGAAGAGGACTTGCCTGAGGAGTTGAAGAAGGAGAAGTTAAGTGTATGGTTTCTGCTCCAATGGGTGAGTCTGATTTTGATAATTGCCGCTTTTATTTGTAGCCTTACAATTCCTTATTTGAGAGAGAAGAAACTTTGGAAACTTGACTTGTGGAAATGGGAGGTCATGGTTTTGGTTCTTATATGTGGAAGGTTGGTTTCTGGATGCATTGTAAAGATAATTGTGTTTTTCATTGAGAGAAATTTTCTGTTGAGGAAAAGGGTTTTGTATTTTGTTTATGGGTTGAAGAAGTCAGTTCAGAATTGTTTATGGTTGGGCCTGGTTTTGATAGCTTGGCACTATTTGTTTGATAAAAGGGTTGCTAAGGAAACCAATAGCAAGGTTCTTAGAATTGTAACCAAAATTTTGGTTTGTCTTGTGGTGGGTGTGATGTTGTGGCTTGTGAAGACTCTTTTGGTGAAGGTGCTTGCCTCTTCTTTTCATATGAGCACCTACTTTGACAGAATCCAGGAATCACTGTTCAATCAATACGTAATTGAGGCACTTTCAGGTCCCCCATTGACTGAAATCCAAAAAATGGAAGAGGAAGAGGAGAGAACTGCAAATGAAGTTAGGAATCTAGAGAATGCTGGTGTAGCTATCCCTCCAGGCATTAAGGCGTCTCAGTATTTGTCACCCAAATATAGGAGAGTGATAGGGAGTGGAATATTGCAGAAAAGTCCACGAGATAAAACTCCTAAACTTTCCCACACGGCTTCTAAGAAGGGGGATAAAGAAGATCAGGGGATAAGTATAGATCACCTTCACAAATTGAACCCTAAGAACGTTTCAGCTTGGAATATGAAGAGGCTGATGAATATTGTTCGAAATGGTCATCTTTCTACATTGGATGAGCGGATACAAGATAGTGCTTATGGGGATGAGTCAACTGAAATTAGAAGTGAATATGAAGCAAAAATTGCAGCTAGAAAAATATTCCAGAATGTTGCTAAGCCAGGTTCCAAGTATGTTGTTTATCAGTTTCATTTTGTTTTCAAATGTTTTGTGTGACTTGAATTAATTTAGCTCAATTCTAGATTTTCTATTGATGCTTTTGGCAAAAACTTTTGCTTTAGTGCTTGGACAATTATATGAGGTAACTATTACAGTTAGGAATACCTGCTCTTTTTGAGTTTCTCAAAAGTCAAAAGTAGCAGGTAATTTTATAGTGACATATTTTCTTGAAGGAGTGTTTTAATGGTTCATGTTAGGCAAAAGCTAGGACTCAACTTAGATGCATATTCCAAATCATTTTGATGGCATTAATAATTACTCATAGTTATTGGAAATTAAGTTCTACCATACTAAAGTCTGCTTAGGTTGTATTTTCCTTCTGTGTGGTATATTGTACATGAAGGATAAAACTGCATGATTGTTGGTTTTTTTCCCTATCAGCAAGTGGATGTTTTTTTGTTACATAATATTTTTGATAAAGGAGCATGGCATGACCTAAGTGCAAGGTGAGTGGAAGTGAACAGGAAACAGACTAGAAAATTTATAGATAACATGTTACTGGTATATCTTACTTGTGTGACTACCTTAAAAAGCATATGTTTTTGTTGGTTGGTTTTCTAGAGCAAGATATGTGACTGGTATGTGAGAGGTCAGCTCAATCTTTTGTATTCATGTAATTGGTTTCTATCTTCATGACATTGGCATTCGTCTGAGTGAATAACAGAAATAGTACAGATAGATACTAATGAGTGGGAGGTTTGGTGATGCACTGATGTTTTTTTATTTTTTTATTTTTTTATTTTTAGACATTTGAGGTGATTCTTCATGTTTATTGTGACATTACTCATAACTGTTTTATCAGGTACATTTATTTGGAAGACATTGAGAGATTCATGCGAGATGATGAGGCCTTGAAAACTATGAGTCTCTTTGAAGGAGGATCTGAAAGCAAGAAAATTAGCAAATCAGCCCTGAAGAATTGGGTGGTAAGAGTGGGGCACCTGCTACTTTGTTTGTTTAAAGTCTGATGATATGCTTCCTTTTTCCTATTTATTAGCTATTGGAAGAGTATACGTAATATTGTAGATTATTTGTGAAAGCAAGTATAAAACATAATCTTTGACCTAACCCTTCCAGTTGCAGCAACATTCTTGTAAGGCCTGAGAAAATGTTGAATTTAGATCTATCGATGTAATAATTTAATTTATCTAAGTTGCTTCCAATAGAAATATACTATAATACTAAAAATATTAATTTGGTATGGTAACTAATAAATGCAAGAAGCCTACTTGCTACTAACTTAAAGTCTTAGTTCTGAAAGTCAAAGGTGAAAGTTCAAACCTTGGCACCAGCCAAGCATAGTAACTAAGTTAAAATTCTCCCAGTCCCAGGAATGAAAAAACAAAATAAAAAAGGGTCCTGATATTTGTATGCATCTAAACTATATGTTTTACATGGTGGATTTTGACAACTGATGAATACGAGGCTCAAGTTTGAGTCAGCTTATCCTAGGCATAAGCTTAGAAAGAAAAAAAAAAATCAAAAAATCAGAAGATCTTTAACTCAGGTCCAGTCTTTACACAATAAAATACAATTTATGAAGACAATAAATAAGTTTAATAACTAATTTAAATATCAAAGTTAGCATATAACTATGATTGCTGCCTTCTTATTTTCATTTCTATAATAAAAGATGTATATGTTATTGTCTATAATTGACACTGTCTAAATAAGTATACCTCTGACTCACTCACTCACACACAAATACACACACAAACATGCCGCACTTTGGCATGGATAGCCACTGCAGGCCGACATTAATATATAGAAAAGGTCTGAAATAGTAGCTGGACATTGAAGTTTTAATAAATGCTTTATCATGCCATGATGTATTTTTTTTTAATGTCTTAGGTTAATGCTTTTAGAGAACGGAGGGCACTTGCATTGACATTGAATGATACGAAGACAGCTGTCAACAGACTTCATCGGGTGGTAAATGTCTTGGTTGGCATCATCGTCCTGGTGATTTGGCTCCTCATACTAGGAATTGCAACCAGCAAATTCCTTCTCTTTGTTAGCTCTCAACTTGTTGTGCTTGCATTTGTATTTGGAAACACCTTGAAGACAATATTTGAGGCTATTATCTTCTTATTTGTAATGCACCCATTTGATGTTGGTGACCGTTGTGACATTGATGGTGTTCAAGTAAGTAGATGATCATAAACTATATCCTTTTCTTCTTTGATTTTATGGTTGATTTTTTGTTTCCCATATGTACTGTGGCCTAAATTGAAATAAAATTAATTTCAGATGGTGGTAGAAGAGATGAACATCTTGAATACTGTTTTCTTGAAATTTGACAACCAGAAGGTCATAATCCCAAACAGTGTTCTTGCCACTAAGGCTATCTATAATTACTATCGTAGTCCTGACATGGGAGATGCGGTTGAATTCTGTGTACATATAGCTACTCCTGCAGAAAAGATTGCTATGATGAAACAGAGGATATTATGGTTAGTAGAAAAGATGTCATTATCCTTCCCTTTCTGCTTTCGTTTATTGCTTCTTTGTTATTTAGTGATATTGGTTGATACTTGGTGGTCATGACTGTATCATATGGATGAGGCAATGCTTGTAGAACTGTATTCTCTTGCTTGGTTTGAATCATCTCATTAGATCAAGATTTGGGGTGACTGAAAATTGATCAACATTTAAGATGACCGACAAAGAAGCCATCTAGAGAACCTTTGCAATTATAAACTTTAATTGATGAGGATTTCAGTTGAAGAATTCATAGGGGATTTTATCTTTCTGAAGAACTTGATTTGCCTAGGGGACAGTAAAATTTCTTGTAATTGCACTTAAATTTTAATGTAATGTGTTTGCCTGTTGCATGTGGGTGTATGGGTAATTTGAGTGAATATGCTTTGATCTAAATGACTTGCTTTGATGTATCTATGGGTGTATACATGAGTCCACACACACACGTAGTATATACTGAAATGTGTCATTTCATAATGCAGTTACATAGACAACAAGAAGGACCACTGGTATCCAGCACCAATGTTTATATGCAAGGATGTGGAAGATTTGAATAGAGTGAGGTTTGCGGTATGGCTAACACACAGGATGAATCATCAAGACATTGGAGAGAGGTGGGTAAGAAGATCCCTCTTGGTAGAAGAGATGGTCAAGATTTTCAGGGAGCTGGACATTCAGTACCGCTTGTATCCCGTTGACGTCAATATCCGGAGTTTGCCTATGCCTACCCCTACCGTAACCTCCGACCGCCTTCCTCCCAACTGGACAGCAGCAGCGAGCTAAGCTGGGATACACACACTAGAGACCTAATTACCTGGATTTGGTAATTACTTTGGCTACCTAGATTTGAACTATTCTTGTCTTTCATTGAGCTCTGCTCTCCAAGGAGTTGAGGGCCAGTTTTGCCTACTCATGAAGTCAGTTTTTAATCCTACCAATATCAAGACCATCCTGGAGACATGGTTACTGTATTGAGAGGATAGCTTGGTACAATTTGCTCAATATTCCAATCATCCAAAGTAGCAATTCAAGCTCTTTCTGGACATTGCATAATTGCGGCAGAGGATCTCCTGTTCCTATAGCCTGAATATTTTATTTAAGTATATTATGTACATGCATAATAATATAAATTTTAATATTATGTATACATAATAATATAAAATTTAATATTATGTATACATAATAAGAATATAAAATTGAGATTTAGTATTTTATTTATGTATATTATGTATATAAATTTTTAAAATAATTGAATACATATAATTAATTTATTAATTATATAAAATTTAATAACATCAATTTCTTAATCAAATAATTATATATATAAGATCTAATTCAAAATTGATATATATATGTGTAATTCATAAAAATAAAATATTAAATTTAACAATTAATTTTTAAAAATATTTATCAAAAAAATAATAT